GTTAGGGCTGGCTCAGGTTTATAGTTAGGGCTGGCTCAGGTTTACAGCAGGACAGTGAGGGAAAATAAACTACAATGTAATGTCCATTCGTGGTAATGAATGGACATTACATTGCAGTCATTTTTATCCAAAGCGACTTACAATTCAGTATCTATCTATACACCGTAGGACAGCTACGGGAGCAATTTGGGATTAAGTGTCTTGCTCAAGGACACATTGACATGCGACTAGTGGAGCCGGAGCCGGGTATTGAACCACCGATCCTCTGATTGAAGGACCGCCCTGCTATCCACTTAGCACGGTCACCCCCGTGGACATTAGGGGTGGGAATCACCAGAGGTCCCGCGATACGATATCATCACGATACTTAGGTCACGATACTGCGATATTATCACGATACTGCGATATTCTGAGTATTGCGATAACATATATTGTGATTTATTACTCTTTTCAACTTCAAATTATGTCCCCAAAGGAAAACTGTGTCAAGATGTTTTATCTAATAATATGATAAAGTTTTCAGTCTGTTCATCTCTCTTCAATCATTTTTATTGCAGTAAAATAGGATTGTTAAGCAGACAGACTGACCAACAATGTCATAAATGTTGCATGCACCTGACAAACTGAACTGTTTGTATTACTACATAGTCCAACTTAACTAAATGCAAACATGTCGATAACTTATATCAGTACGATATATGAGTTATATAACTCAGTATAACTTGCGATGCGTGGACGTCAAGGGCAGAGAGCCAGTTATGCGCCGCACTGTCCCCATGAGCCTGGCTACTGTTGGCAGATTTAACCCCGTTGTGAGGCCAGATTGAGCGGGTGAGTGAAACACTTCACATGCAGGAATCTCGCTAACTGAACGGCAACGCCCACGTTAGAAGCGTTGTTACAACCATCAGGTTTTTGTCGGCAATCCCCCATTCTTGTGCTGCATTTAGCAGGAGGTCTGTAATGTTTGCCCCGGTGTGACTTACGTGTACTGCTCTAGTTTGGAAAACGAGAGACAGCAGTCACCAGTCCCCTGAGATATTGTGTTGTTATAGTCACATAGGAATCCACTGCGCTTGACGTCCACGCATCGCAAGTTAATGCAACTCTTTCTGCTGTACTCAAAGACTCCACAACTTTAAGCTTCACATCTCTGTAGAGCTTGGGCACGGCTGTGTAGGTGAAAAAATGCCGCAACGGTGTCATATCCATGTGTCATATTCATGTCCTTCTTCCCTTCCTTGTTAAAAAATTCAAAATAAGTCTAGACGTCTGATTTAAACGCGGATGGTGCATTTCTGATTTCTTTCTCCGATGTCTACATCTTTGTTTTGATCAACTTCCTACCAATCACGCTGACCCGGCACCTCTGCTGACCTCACCAGAAAACAACTCAGCACCATCTAGTGGACTGAAAAAGCAATTGATTTGATTTTTCTAGTACATTTTGTTTTTATAGTTTATATACTAAAAGATCGATACTTAGCGTCCGTGTATCGATACAATATCGCCACGCAAAATGTCGCGATACTATGCTGTATCGATTTTCCCCCCCACCCCTAGTGGACATGTCCCCCAGTGCAATAGTGTCCTAACTGATGTGTCTCTGTGGCAGAGAGGAAGGATATACATCAGTCTTCGAATACATAAACACCACTTAGCAGGATCCATTTTGGGTTGGATCTGCATGAAAAATATAGATCAGCAGCAGAATGTGTGTTTTGGTTAATAAAAATGACTCTTCCTTATACTAACCACTTGGAGTGCTAACAGTAGCATGGCGCTCCACAGGCATTTCTGGAGTCAATTTCTCACTTTCTTTCATAACTTCCAGTTAATTTCAGCATTCCTTACTTATTCACTACCTCAAAGAGGTTTCTCCGGTTCTGAAGTCAGTAGCTGGCGGGCAGTGTGAAGCTCGCTGAAGTCATAATCACGCGCGACTTCACCACCATTCTGTTGCATTACTATAACAAATCAAACCTCTTTCGACTCACTAGAAGCCTCCCATGGTATCAGGACACAACGCGCGCACAGACAGGCAGGCAGGCAGGCAGACAGACAGACACCAAGAAATCATTAAATAAAACAAAGGAATCGTGACTTTTTATTTACTTATCCATGAAAATAATATATCAAGAAAAAAGCATAATAATATATAAATTAACTGCGCATTACTTTATGCGTTACATATTCATGTCACGTTTTTGTCACCAGAGCACTTTAATACGAAAATGGCATTAGAAAATAAAAATTGCTTACTTTGCAACCTAAGGCCACTTACCCGCTTCACAAGAAGGTCCAATGCACGGACAATACTGAGCCAAGAGGAGGTCAAGTTTGAGAAAATAAAAGTGAAAACTGACCAGAGCTAAAATGAAGCATCACGTTGAAGGGAATGCCACTGAATTTCATATGTGAACATGAAGAGGCTCGTTCTACCAGATGAACCAGACGAACCAGACGAGGGTCGAATCAGTAACATGAACTATACTCTAATCCGGAGAGCAGTCTCACACATTTCATTCAGAGGATTTTCTGGTTCAGTACGAAAAGCATTGTCAATTGTGACAATAAATATCAACTGAATGCTGAAATGTAAATAACCATGGTGATTAGGGGAGCAGATAAAGCTGCTTAGCTGATGACTCGGCATTATCCAAGTGCTTAATTATATGTTTATTTGTGTGTTTTTGTTTAGCTGACATACTTTCATGGCTTTGCTGCATGGGGTCAAATGTTTTGTGAATCTGTGTCTGCACTGTGGATGATAACAGAAACTAGAGACTTGGTTCTCAGACTCTCTTTGTTTACAGCGTTGCTCGTTATCAATAATTCTCTGTGGACTGTTTAAAGCCCCGAGATTAACATCGGGTCCTTTCAAACCACAGTGCGGTTTATAGTACTGCTCAAGGAAGGAAAGGATGGCAGTGGAAGGAATACATCCTCTTTATGTAAAGACGTGGGGGGGGGGTACAGATGACCAGATGACTAAAAGAATAAATCAATATCAGCTTTGTGCCTCCCAGATTGTGGACTTTAAGAGCACATTCACTCATGGGTATTTTCTCTCCATCACCAAGCATCATTTTATTCCCATGGTTGATTATGCAGCACGGACAGCCATACTTATTATTTCTACATGAACACAGCAACCTTTTGGCAACCTTGTCTCTATGGTAACATGGAAGCTGTTAAAATGGCTGACTTATTCCAACACACAAAAACACCACTCAAGTACAGAAAGTGCTTTCACGTTTGGCGTCACTCTCTCATTATGAACACATGTGGATGTAAAGATGAAAGTCAGGGAGCTGTATCATTGGTACTGCTTTATCATTTCCTCCTGCTGTATTATCAGGAGGTTCCAACTGAGCCTGAAGTCTTTCACCAGAAACACTGAGATTTGCTTTGTGAGGAGCCTCAATCACAGGAGACTTAAATCCATCAACATTTTTAAGCTCCACCTTGGACAAAAATACAATACATCATCTCAAATACATTTTGATAGCCTAATAATGGCTGCAGAGTATAGAGAGCCTGGAGGTGCATCTCTGTGTTTCTTCAGCTCGTCCCTGTATAGACACCGGGATCTCCCTGACTTACTCTGCTTGTGTGTTCAAACACAAACACACAGACCCAGAGGCTGTCTCAGGGTGCATCAACTGTTAATAACATAAAAGTTACTATAGTCCTGATATACATTAGTTATAACTACATCATATTGACACATCACGTTGTACCGTCAGGATCCACCTGTTAGCCCCACGTTTCCTACAAAATACATTTGGATATGTAAAGATTTCCTTAGTAAATAATCTAGCTGTAACCTCTCAACATCGCTAGATAGAGGATGGGACAAGAAACAGGTGCATTCATATGATACGACAGGGTTTTTTAAAAACTTGGTTAAAATATAGACTGCATACAAGAAGAGGACGTAGTTGTCGTGACATCACTGTTTTGTGGGCTGCAGCTTTGCAGCCTTGAATTTGACATTTTGGTCATCGCTATCTTGGTTTTGTGCAACCAGTGAACGGAAGCGACCATATTTGGACTGCGGAGAAGTGACGCTGTGTTAGATATGCCATATTTGACTCTGGTAGCAACCTGTCAATCACAAGTAGGTTAATTAACAAGGTCGCCCCGCCCAAATGATAACCTGGAATGGTCCTTCAATGTTTCTGAGAATAATAGCCGAGTAAACAGCCGTTTTATGGCAAACTACATCTCTAACAAGTCTGGCAACATCTTTTCATACTACTTTAAAGGAAAGAGGCTAGTAAAACCAAATTGTTTCTTTTATACTCCACTTCATCATACTTGTTCATAGTACCGTTATCTGTTTGTGCACTTTATTTTATATTTGTATTCTTTTATATTCTATTGTAAATTGTAATATGTTTCTATTTCTTGCAGTGTGGATTGTTGTTGATTGTTTAATGTTATGCACCACCCGCCATGACAAATTCCTTGTATGTGCAACATACATTGGCAATAAACAGTTTCTGATTGTGAAACTATATCTCATCTCATCTCATACTTTGAATGCTCTGCAGTATTCTGTTCATCTTTACTGTGATCACTCTACAACTCTACATCAGGAAAAAATGTGAAATTGTTACAGTAACTTTCACTCCAAATCAGACAGTGATTCCTCAAATATGTGGCAAATGTGGACATATGATGGCTGTGTAATTGAAGTGGAGACAGGAGGCTGCAGAGCTCCAACAGACAACATCTGGCTCGTTGATCTACACAACAGGTCGGCTTCTGCCATTTAAATGCTTGAGCTGAAATGCAGGCATGATCGTCTGGCTTTTGTCGAGGAGAAAATGTACAAAGGTATCGCTCATTCATGCAGAACAAATACATTCATAGGCTTGCTGTCCTCGGATGAAGAAAGCTGATTAATCCTCTGGTCTGAATCAAAGAGCAAAACTAAGCCTTTCACCCTCTCCATGAGTCACTCTTCTTGACCAAGTCCAACAAAAAGTGCTCTTCTGTAGCAGTGGTACAGTTTTTTCCAGGTCTGGGGGAAACAAGTGAATCAATAGGCATCCTCTGGCTCCATCTAACCACTCCCAGCTCACCAGATCCTGTTAAGCCCGCCAGACCCTGGACAAACACTGAAGTATTCTCTAATGGACAAGGGATTAGGAGGAGGGAGCCGGTGAAACAGGAAACAAGGAAACAAGAAAATAAGAAAGTAACACAAGGAGTTAGAGAAGAGAAATAATGGAGTCTGGCTCCCCCCACTGGCTGTAAATAAGAATGACCCCTACAAATTGGCTGTGCATATAAGTGCAAAAGAGCTAGAGATGTTGTGTTCTATTGTAAGGCCCTTCAAACTAAAATCTGAAGGGTGCCAGGGTGTGAAAGGAACAGTAGCAGCAGGATCAGGGCTTTAAAACAGGCATACAGTCAGGCCTGGAACCAAACAGCACTGGCAAAAAGCTCACCGTAAACAACACCAAGTCGGGTTCTGTTTTTTTTCACAGGTTTAAATCATTCACAGATGATTTTCTCCCTTTTGTGATTCTCTGTGTTCTACAGTGATTTGGTTTTAGCCACTTTGTTGAGCATCATCATCTCTGTTCGGTAACAAAAGGCAAGTCTCTCGAAATGTTTCTGTTGAATACTGTAGTTGAAGCAGAATGAAGGAGCCCTTTTTCGTCGGCCCATTCAGAGGCACAGCTTTACTGTTGTGCTCCCCTTTCGCTGTCTCTTGGACTACAGGTTCAGTCTCGGGGCCACTAAGGCAAACTCGCGCAGAATGTTTCTGGCCACATCCACTTTGTACTGGGCGATCATCAACGCCCGCTTCACGTCCTCAAAGGAGTAGCCCTCCCCCATCAGCTTCGCGATTTTGGCGTCAACGTTCTCCGACTCCAAGCTGTGAGGTTTGCCCGGCTTAATGTCTGGAGGAATCTTCCTGGGCAGTGGCTTGGGCGGCCTGGCAGGGGCCTGCAAACAGTCCATTGATACTTTGACAGAGAGAAGGAGAGAAATCATGTCAGTGGAAAAAGGCCCCTGGCCCCCCGGAGAAACTTGAGTTGGTAATTAGTGGTCTCGAAGTCTGTAGACTTCACAGAACAAAAGCTTTGACATTCCAATATCGCCTGAGTTTGGACCTTTATTATTAGGTAATCACTGTCTTACAAAGCAGATATTAAGGTATTCACTGCAGATATCTCTTCAATTCCAGAGATGGCAAAACATTGTTGGCCTGCTTTAAGGAAAACAGGATACGTTCTGGGAAATGAAAAAGCTGAAACCAAACACAATTAAGCCGATTTGGATTTCAAAGTTTCAGACAAACTTTGCCCGTCTGCACAAAGCAACTTCCTCGGTCATCTGGATCCGTGTTTTAAGTCATATGTGTGCATTTGCTGAGAAGGTTGAGGGTACCTACCTTGACTGGCTGGTAAATGGTCATACTCCAGGCAGCCCCTGGAGCCTTTAGTATGCTCTGCGTGTCGTCTGACTGGAGGCAGAGGAGCAGCACTGTTCAGCATGTCAAACACTGTGCCTACACCACAGACAACAGAGACATTCAGGTAAAGGAGCCTGTTGCTATCTGTAGGTCAACAAAGTAATCCTCTGTTCCATGTGGATTTTTCAACAATTCGGTCGGCATAATAAACACTTTACCCCCTGTGAGAGAAAACTATTAGATATGCATAACACGGTAGGAGATGCACTACATTTTTATCTTTTTTCACAATTTTGATCGGAAGGAAGAGAGAGAGAAGCAAGAGTTTGCCAGCTTACCAGGAGTTAACAGAAAGTGCTCGAGTCCAGAGGAGGGCCTGTGTGGTCGTGCAATGACAGAAGAGGAGGACGTGGAGGAGTTGCAGAATGAGGACGGAGAAGAGGAGGAAAGGTCGGTGAAGCTGTGTCTCACCGGTGGAGGAGGAGGCTGGGATGGAGCGTCTTCCAATGCTGAAACACAGACAAGACTGAACTATCTGCTCTGATTCACAGTTCCTACTTATTCCAAGAGGAGCTGTCTGATGCTGCTATGGAATCTAAACCATGTCCCAGCAATGGCATTATATGCCAAAGTGCAGCTGGCATGCTGTCCTTTAGAGAAAAGCCAAGAGAGGATATTTCTGAGAAGGGAGCGAGGATTGGGACAGGAGGTACACGAAGGCTGGATAGAAACTTGCTGTGGGTATTCTGGATTAACAGAAACCAGAGGGAGGATTTATTAGACATCAAACATACAATATAAGCACATAATGAGTAATCATTGCAATCAGAAAAAACTCTATCTAAAGGCTAGCTTTGCTATTTGTTTACAGCATCACATCAGCATTGTGTACATTCATTCCAATTCAAATGGGGACCATGTGAACTCTGCTACAGGGCTGTTACTGGAATAAAGATCTGACAGTGCTGTACACCAACTGCAGAATAGGATTTTAATGAAATGATACGAAGCTAATGATATTTTGGAGTTTATGAATCTATCTTATCTTATCTATCTTATCACACTGAGCTTCAAAATGACATGTGAATATGACAGAGAGACATGTCCCCAATGTATCACCTGAGATTCATTGGATTAAGTCAAGAATATATGTTTGACACGGGGAGATTTTTTAAGCGACAATAGTGACATTTTACAGTTAAGACAAGTGCGACACAGGTGTACTGCACAGGGAAAACTAGTGGGCTATGATAGCAGAGGGGCTGAGACAGACAGGGAGCTGTGGCTGGGGGAGGGGAGGTGATCAGGTCGGGGTGGGCTACCTTGTGGGGGCAGCAGGATATCATAGTCAGATGGTATCTTGCTGGTGTTGAAGGGGCAAAGGGCTGTATGTGCCACCCGTGAGACCAACCCCCTGACCGACTCAGAGTGTCCGCCTGACAATCAGAAGCAGAGAACAGACGTTTTTCAGTAAATAAGAAAGAATGTTGCTGATGGCATTAGATAGTTCCTCATGGTTGTCGTGGACTTTCACCTGATTCAATAAATGAGACAGAATAACATATTCTACCGTTATCAAGATAATCTATTTCAACAAAAAAACTGATGCATACTGGAAAGAAATGAAATTACCTTTAGTCTCTTTCTGATTGTAAGACTCTGACTAGAACGTTTTAAGACTCAAGTGTGGATCAAATAAGGTGTCTTCATATGATCATACAGTTTGTACAAACCATTTGTGGGCATCCTATTCACCCTGCTCATTGCAACATTCACTACATCAGCTGAAATGATCTCACAGTACTATGGAGTTAGAAAAGACTTAGAACTTGTGATGTTCAATCATATCTGCTGGTTTCAGGACTCACCAGGCTCCGGGGGCTTCTCGTCGATGTAGGGCTCTGGAGAGCCGTTCTCCCAGTGCCTGAATGAGAAGAAATATTAAACTGCAATGGAACATCATAGCTGTATCACCATAGTAGCTTTAAAACATTGAAAGACGGCCAGTACCTGCTGGGTACAGAGATGCAGATGGGAGCCTGGCTCAAGCAGAGGTTGGATGAAGGGATCTGATAGTCGTCCTCCACCCTCTCCATCACTCCCCGCTGTCGTTCTACCACAGGGCTGTTGAAAGGGTTGGAGGGTCTGTAAAGATGATCATGATTTATCAACTCAACCTTTCCATTCATACAGTTATTACATTCAAACTACAATCTGGCATTTTCACAGTCCCATTAAGAGGTGGATTAGATAGGTATAAACTTTATTCATCCCCTGGGGGAAATTAGTTTGTCGCAGCAGCAAGTTACAGAGTAAAATAAAATATTACGTATGGAAATGCACAATATATAGAGTACAATAAAATAACAGAGCAGATATTGAATTTGAAAAAATAGAATAATAAAAAATAAAAATGCTAAAAATCCACAGTATATACAATTAATTAGAATGGTATTAAATTAACAACTAGGTAAACTAAACAAACTGAACAGTAGTGCAAGGATCACCAACAACAAGCAACAACCGTGTAGCGTTCTTGTAGTCATTTGAAGGATGATGATCTGGCCAGAGGTGATTTGTTATAAAGTGATATAGCAGAGGGCAGGAATGTTTTTCTGAATCTGTCCTTGTGACAGCGGAGCTGGATCAGTCTGTTGGAGAAAGTGCTCCGCTGTCCCTGCAGTAGGTGGTGGAGAGGGTGGTCCGGGTTATCCAATATGGATAATAGTTTCTTCAGTGTCCTCCTCTCCACCACCTCTTCCAGATTGTCTTGTTTACAGCCAATGATGGAGCCGGCCTTCTTAATCAGTTTATTAAGTCTGTTGGTGTCTCCGGCTCCAATGCTGCTCCCCCAGCAGACTACGGCGAAGTACAGTGCACTGACCACAACAGACTGGTAGAACATCTCCAACATCTTGCTGCACACGTTGAAGGATCGAAGTTTCCTCAAGATAAAGAGTCGACTCATCCCCTTCTTGTACACAGTGTTGATGTTGTTCTTCCAGTTCAGTCTGTTGTCGATGGAGACACCCAGGTACTTGTACTCCTCTACCATGTCCACATCCTCTCCCAGAACTTTCACCGGTTGTGGAGCCGTCGTCTTCCTCCTGAAGTCGACCACCATCTCTCTGGTCTTGGCCACGTTCAGACGCAGGTGATTTCTACCGGCCCACTCCACAAAGTCAACCACTACTGCCCTGTACTCCTCCTCCAGTCCGTCCTTTATACACCCGACCACTGCAGAGTCATCAGAGAACTTCTGCAGGTGGCATGACACAGAGTTGTACTGGAAGTCAGTGGTGTACAAGGTGAACAGGAAGGGAGACAGAACAGTTCCCTGTGGGGCTCCAGTATCACTGACCACCGTATCAGACAGCACACGGCCCAGTTGGACAAACTGTGGTCTGCCTGTGAGGTAGTCAGTGATCCAGGAGACGGTGGACGAGTTAACCCCCACCACCCGCAGCTTCTCACTCAGTAGCACTGGTTGGATGGTGTTGAATGCACTGGAGAAATCAAAGAAAGTGATTCTCACAGAGCCACCGGTTCCATCCAGGTGCGACTGAGCTCGTTGCAGCAGGTAGATGATGGCGTCGTCCACCCACACATGAGGCTGGTATGCAAATTGCAGAGAGTCCAGTGATGATTTCACCTGCGGTCGGAGGTGGGCCAAGACCAGCCTCTCCAGCACCTTCATCACATGTGATGTAAGGGCAACTGGTCAGTAGTCGCTGAGGCCAGATGTCTTCTTAGGTACAGGAACCTGGCACGACGTCTTCCACAGCACCGGGACTTCCTCCTGCTTCAGGCTCAGGTTGAAGAGATGTTGCAGGACATCAGACAGCTGGATGGCGCACGTCGTCAGGTCCCTGGGGCTGATGCCATCAGGTCCTGCAGCCTTGCCTTGGTGGAGTCTCTCCAGCTGTCTTCTCACCTGGCCAGTCGTCACAGAGAGGGGGGGGGTCATTATGTCGGTGGTGGCAGAGCCCTTTGAAGTGGAGGGCTCTGAGTCCATGCAGCTCACCAGGGGGGACAGAGGGGGAGGTGATTGGGAGGTGTGGTGTGTGGAGGAGACAGATGAGGGCTGTGAGCTAAACCTATTGAAGAAAGAGTTTAGCTCGTTGGCCCTCTCCAGGGAGCCCCCTGGTTGTCTCCCTCCAACCTTGATAGTAATCTGCTTCATCCCCGTCCACACCTCCTTCACGTTGTTCTGCTGGAGTTTGGCCTCCAGCTTCCTCCTGTAGGAGTCCTTGCACTCCCTGAGCTTCACCTTCAGGTCACGCTGGACTTTCCTGAGCTTTCTTCTTGTTAAGGAGAGCTTTCAGGTCACTGGTGATCCATGGCTTGTTGTTGGGGTAGCAGTGTACTGTCCGGGATGGAATGGTGGTTTGTTCACATAATTTGATATATTCTGTGATACAGTCCGTCATGCTGTTGATGTCCTCCCCATGTGGTTCACACAGCACATCCCAATCCGTAGACTCAAAGCAGTCCTGCAGAGCGTCATTAGCCTCCTGAGACCACCTCCTCACAGTCCTGGTGGTCACAGGCAGCCTCTATACCAGAGGAAAATACCTGGGTGTCAACAGGATCAGGTTGTGATCAGACCTGCCAAGGGGGGGGAAGGGCAGTGGCACTCTATGCATCCTTTGCATTAGCATACAGAAGGTCCAGAGTTTTATTGTTCCTTGAGGGGCAGTCAACATATTGGTGAAAAGTTGGCAGGGCTTTATCCGGAGTGGTGTGATTAAAGTCTCCAGTAATTGCCAAAAATGCACCTGGATGTTGACTCAGCAGTCCAGACACAGTGGAGTGGATGGATTGTAGTGCTGGGGTGCAAGGACAGGCCAAAGGTGCAGCAAAAATCGTTATTTTACATTTCTTATTGTACATTTTAACAATGTGTCACCGCTAAAACATTTGCATTAACTGCATTGTTTATTGTATTGTCAGAATGGAAGAAAAACACATCATGTAAAAGCACTGCGGTTTGTCAAAGTAAGGCAAAATGCTTTTCGACTTGCAACATTTCCAGGTACACGGCAGTCAGAAATTGCAACTGAAAAGATTCATCAGTGTAAACAGAGCCCATTACAGTAAATGCTGAAATATCTCAACAGTCTGAGAAGACTCAATCTGAGCTGAAATAAAGAACTTAAACTGTACACTGAGAGCCGCTTGACAGGACAGGTTTTAGATGCTTGTAGGACAAATATCCATCACTGTCCAACACTAGGTGTGGTAGTGCAGTTCCCAACATCATGTGTGTGAGCTGACTTTTTCATCCTTGTGCCAAATTGAAGTCAATTAGACTCACAGTAGGCACAGTGGTGTAGTAGTTATCACTGTCGCCTATCAACAAGAAGGGGTCGGACCCGCTGGTTTGGTCGGCTCTTCTGTGTGAAGCATGATCCCGTCATGTCAGCGTGGGTTTTCTACGGGTTCTCCAGCTTCCTCAGAGAGTCCAAAGACCTGTTAGGTTACTCTAAATTTGCCCGCAGATGTGAGTGATAGCCTGGCGACCTGTTCAGGGTGTACCCTGCCTTTGCCCTATGTCAGCTGGGATCCCTCAACCACATTGATCAACGTGTCAGTCTCTTTATAATTCCACAAAAACATTCTGCAGACCACAGCCATCAGGCCAAATTCAGTAAGAATGTTTTGTACTGTAATGAGAAAATATGAAGCAGCACCACTTATCAACTGGCCCCACCCTGTTTGTTGTGTTTACCTACCTGCTATGATGCAGTATAATGTCATTGTGCTGAAAAGGTACAAAGTACACTAACAGTTGTGTCTTCAGTAGGTAATGATTTAACAGTAAAGGAACTGTTGAATAATGCAGGACCTTCATTGGCCAATCAGTTACAAGAAACACCGACGCAGCCTAATATCGAACCATAACCACTGTAACATATTAAAAATATGTAAACTGAGCCAGTAGATGCAGTAATTACCAAATAAACATTCAGGTTCAGGTTAGGGCTTTTGGGAATGAATGGTTGTCTTTATATAAATAGTAATAAAAACAAGTGACCCTGCAAATATAACCTATGCTTTCAAAATGCAAGTCAGCTGCATTTTCCCTTGTGTAAGGGAAGTGTGTGTACATCACTCTAACCACCCTACAATACTAAATTGTTTTCAGCAGGACCAGAGTTTCCCCTTTCAGCTAAAGCTTCATCGGAAGTGACAGCTCTATCCCCTGCCTCCACTTCAGCCTGATACACAGAAATACCTAATTTAATTCTGGCTGAAGCAAAAAGGCTATTAGAGGTTCAGCTATAATTTTTAAAAGCTGTGTCTAACCAGGACTTTTCCCCAAGGCTACTAGACCTCATTGGTAGAAGGTCCCTGAGTCTGAAACCACAGAGAAAAGAAAGGAGGAGGTTCAGATTCGATGGAACTTTAGAATAAAAGCAAAGGCTAGTAACTGGCTAGTGTTGAACTGAAGGTTACTCATATCTAAAACACTAGTCCAAGTGCTTTAAGACCGCAGACTAGACAGCTGTTTTGTTCTGTTCCCTATTCCCATTTACGTCCCAGTGCTGGCGTCAACTTTGCAGTTTGTTCAGCCTCGAAAAGATTTTGTATGCACGTTCTGTTCCATTGATTGAACAGACTTTTGTCCAGCATGTTTCATCTCCGTATGGATTACACAGACATTGATTTTGACAGTGGTGGGCCGTCAGAGCCTTCAAGGCCTTCTCTGCTAGCCTAAACAGAATCACAAAATTATAGCTATTTTATAATTTAATAATTTTTCCTTCAATAATACACGTCAATAATAATTAAAGCTGCGAGCAGCGATGAACGGGCCTTCACAATCTGCAGCGCGTCGGGGGTGCCGGTGGGACTCCGGCCTGCGCGTCCGAGAACGTCCGCGACCATCGGAAGGTGCGTCCGCGAGCGAGACGTTTTTAATCCCGCGTGGACCGCCTGATGCCGGAAATGATGCTTTGCAAATAGTCCGATGCTTCCTGTATCCGCTGCCTGGCGCTACAGAACACGTGCAAACATGCATTTTGTAGCTCTGTGTCAAGTGTAAACCACATTGTGTAAAAGTCATGTAAATCGGAGGAGTATGTCACAAAATGCAGATTTCCTTTGGCCAGCAGGTGGCGCTGTGAGTATTATTGAAAATTAGCTCGTAGACATCCTCAGGCCATGAGTGTTATCAAGCATGAGAAGTTTGGGACCGTTTGGAACAAGTCCAGCTGAGTTACATCAGACATTTCCTTTAGCCAGTAGGCTTTGCGGGTTTACTGTAGCGCCCCCTAGTGGTCGAATGCAAAACAATTCTCAGGGTATGTTACTGGATGCGATGTGCACATATGCTGAATATTTTGGGAATTTAGAACAAATGGTTGAGAAGTTATGTGTATTGATATTTTGACACTCACCGAAGAAGTGTATTGGTCCATATCTTGTAAACACAAAGAGATATCAAAAATATTTTGATAACTTTTGATGATCTAGATCCGCTTATGATCCACAGTAAATTTCGTAGAAATCGGAGCCAGCGTGTAGGAGTTCGCAAAAATGTGGTTTTTTTCACTAAATTCAAAATGGCTGACTTCCGGTTGGGTTTAGAGCTTAGAGCTCCGGGGCTTTTTTTGTCAGTCTACATGTGATACATCTGTTTACCAAATGTTATACATCTAAATTTTATATATAGATAGTGAAACGTACTGCGAGGGCTGCATCGTCGAAATATTGTATAAATTCATACAAAATTGAAAATGGCAGACTACCGGTAGGGTTTAGAGCATGGTCCCAAGAGACTTATTTTTAGGTCTCCATAGGATACATGTGCCTACCAAGTTTCATACATGTAGCCAAAACGTAGCGCTGGGGCTGCTCTTTTGAAATATTGTAGGGGGCGCTATAGAGGCAATTTAAAACGGCCAATAAAGAAAATCATATAAAATATTTCTTCCAATGACCTGTGACACATGTACAAAGTTCCATGAGTTTTTGAGCATCCCAACCCACTAAACCATCAGCTTCCTTTTTCATGGCAAACTATGCGTCGCCACGGCAACAGCGTGGAACGAAAACTCACAATATTCATGGAGATTTATCATCAATGTCTTAAGGCTATCCTTACCAAATTTGAGACTCATCAGGTAACCTGGCTAGGAGGAATAAATAAAAGTATAAAATATGACATTTCCTTTAGCCAGTAGGCGGCGCTATGAGTTATTGAAATATTTTCAATTGAAGTATGTTTAGGCTTGAAGTAGCATCATGCATAAGAAGTTTTGTGCAAATTAGATAATGTACCTTGGAGTTATAACAACTTCTTTTTTCATAAACAATGAGGCAAAATGGCCGCCACGTCAAGGTGTTGATGAAAACTCTCGATTTTGATAACTTTTAATCACAAAGGTCTTAAGAACATCCTGACCATAGTAGAAGTTGATCGCTTAAAATCTCTAGGAGGAGTTCGTTAAAGTGCGAAGGCTGAAATCTGCAAAAAGTGACAAAAAGCACAACTTCGAGGGTTTACTGTTGCGCCAGCTAGTTGTTGAATGCAAAATGAATCTCAGGGTATGTTAGAGGATGCAATGTGCACATATGCTGAAAATCTGGTAATTTTAGGACAAACGGTTGAGAAGTTATACAGTTGTGTGAAAAAGTGTTTGCCCCCTTCCTGATTTCTTATTTTTTTGGTCACAGGGCCATGTAGGCCCTGTGTGAAAAAGCTTTGGATTTTTTTCCCCCTTAATAATAAAAACCATTTCAAAACTGCATTTTGTGTTTACTTGTGTTATCTTTGTCTAATATTTAAATTTGTTTGATGATCTGAAACATTTAAGTGACTAACATGCAAAAAAATAAGAAATCAGGAAGGGGGCAAACACTTTCACACAACTGTATGTATTGCTATTAAGCCACGCCCCTAAGAAGTTTATTGGTACATATCTTGTAAACGAAAAGAGATATCAAAAAGCTTTTGATAACTTTTGATGACGTAGATCCAGTAATGATCCACAGTAAATTTGGTAGTAATGGGACTAAGCATGTAGGAGGAGTTCGCAGAAATGTGTTTGACACTAAATTCAATATGGCAGAAAATCTAAGTAGGCGGACCTTAGGGGTCTGATTGGCTTTTTTGTAGCTCTAGCTCAAGTGGACATGTGTGTCAAATTTCAAGTCAATCTGACATACTGGCCGAGGGGCGTCGAATGGCGCTAGAGAGCCATTTCTTAACACAGAAAGATGCATTCTTTTTCAGATGGCTATATTCACCAGGCCTGACAAGTCCCCAAAATTTGGTGAGTTTTCATGCATGGAAAGTCCTCCAACCATGCGTACGTTTACCCAAACGGGTACAATATCAATAGGGCCTTCGCGGCCCGACGTTGTCGGTAGCTCGGGCCCTAATAATTTATGAAAATATTTTCCCCATTAGCTTATTTTCTCATTGCACAGCTACTGTCTTCCTCAGTTGCTCTGCTTCCAGTGCAGCTTTTATCCAATCACATTTCACCTCTGTGTCTCTAGGTAAGAAGAGAGGCCCGAGGCCTGCAGACTCACAAGTGAATCCCTTTGCACTTTAAGTGAATGGGGACGATATTGTTGATTGTCATAGTGTTCAACCAATCAGATCTTTAGTTTGACATGTTGGGCGTATTCTTTGACGTGTCAGAGCCTGCTAGCTGGCCTAGCCATATGTGATTGGTCAGTGGGCTAGCGTGATATGTTGGGCGGTGACAATCCCAATATCTGCTCCCTCTGCCGAGCGGACATTTTCAACCTCAAGCGCATTAAAACATATTCAAGAAATACAACTGGGGAGGCTCGACTGTCTTCACTGGCGTCCATGAATGGAGAAGGACTTCTTACTGGAACTAAAACACACGGATGTACTGAACAACCGTGAGATTAAACTCTTTATTAACAAAGAAAGGAGGATGGACTTTGTCTTTAAAAACTGAACAGCAGCTCTGGTAAGTTAAATACGTTTGTTTTTACATCTGCAGTAGCTTTAAGATGCTTGTTTATATATTATTATTTGTACAACTTGTTTTTATGAAGATTTTTGTTTGGTTTAATATGTGATAGGAACCATTGTTACATCCAGTGTTGCTCTAGGGACATATTTAGTCGGTGCCAGTGTTGGCAACTTGGCGACTTTCTCGCTGAATCGGGCGACTTTCCAAACCCTCATGGAGACTTTTTTTGTCAAAAGCTACTAGCGACAAATCTAGCGACTTGTTCTGGTGTTGGAGACTGTTCTGGTGTTTTGACTCTGATGTTAAAGCACGAATGTTCTGCACTGTCGTGAACGAGCAGCGGGTGCTGCCGTGAACGAGCAGCAGCAGTCCCAGCTGCAGTCAGAGCAGAGAGGAGACGCACTCTAGGCGTATTCTCTGCAGTTCGTGGATCTATAGGTGTTGAGCTTCATTTTGACACGAAACAAATAATAACTGTAGCTGTGTTTCAGCTGCAGGACAGCAGTGAAGGCCCAGGTATAAAATGCACGGCCCGCCACTGGATTTTGATAAACTGTTTCTAAAAACAGCCTTATCAGAGGAACTATAAACAAGTTCAGCAGGAGCTCACTGGTTGCAGTAATGTACCACTGCATGGAAGCTGCAAATATTTTCTGCCCCTATTATACAAATGTGCTGTTCAGACAAATCATTTCAATATTGGTTAAACTTTTTCAGGATATTTCCAATGAAACTTTGCGTGTGTGTGTGTGTGATATACTCACTTATGGCTACTGGCAAGTGTGGACTGCGTTGGTGAGTGCCGTGAGGGAAGGATGTCATACTCATCACTGACTTGCACACCATTGGAGAAGGGCTGCACAAACAAGAGAAGGGGGAGAATTATATAAAGCACAACGGAACAACTGAAAAGGTAATGTCAACTGAATTGCAGAACTAAAAAAAACTACACTAGTACAGTGTATTATGCTGTGGATATGCCATGTCCTTCCCTGATTCTGGTGGGGAAGTGCAGTCCTTACAAACACAGCCAGGACACCATACTGAAGGTACAGCAACTCTGCAGCAAACAACATTTTACTCACCAACTGTAGCTTCAAATCAATTCACTAAAAAAGGCAGTATGGGTTTAAGGATGCAGAATGTGCAAATTATTTCTTTTCATTAAACCCGATACATTTCAAACTACAGGCCACCTTATGATGGGATCACACCAGCTGCAGTGCCAAATCGGACCAGGGGTGTAAAATGGGGAAGCCAATGGCCCCTTCGTCTTGCTCCCTTGCTTGGACCACACCAATCTTCTCCTTTATTTATTCTCAACAACACCTATAAAGTTTCACGACTGCGTTTTGCACTGTTGTTGTACTATTGAGGAGACAAAATCTGTTTATAGGCAGGCAGACAGAAATGTTAACACATTTTGTAACCTTGTAAAGGGCAACTCCCTGTGTGGCAGAGTTACTCCCCAGATCTGCATCCATCCATCCATCCATCCATCCATCCATCCATCCATCCATCCATTTTCCTCAGCTTATCCGGGGTCGGTCGCGGTGGCAGCAGGCCAAGCAGGCTGACCCAGACTTCCCTCTCACCGGCAACATGTTCCAGCTCATTCTGGGGGATCCCAAGGCCTTCCCAGGCCAGCTGGAAGATATAATCCCTCCAGCGTGTTCTGGGTCTTCCCCGGGGTCTCTTCCCAGTTGGACGTGCCTGGAAAACCTGCAGTGGGAGGCGTCCAGGAGGCATCCTAATTAGATGCCCGAACCACCTCAGCTGACTCCTTTCGGCGCAAAGGAGTAGCGGCTCGACTCCAAGGTCCCTCCTGATGACCGAGCTCCTTACCCTATCTCTAAGGCTGAGCCCGGCCACCCTACGGAGGGAGCTCATTTCGGCCGCTTGTAGCCGCGACCTTGTCCTTTCGGTCACAACCCAAAGTTCGTGACCATAGGTGAGGGTAGGAACGTAGACCGAGTGGTAAATTGAGAGCTTTGCCTTCCGGCTCAGCTCCCTCTTCACCAAGACGGTCCGGTGCAGCGCCTGCTTTACTGCTGCAGCCGCACCGATCCGCCTGTCGATCTCCCGCTCCATCTTACCCTCACTCGTGAACAAGACCCCGAGATACTTGAACTCCTTCGCTTGAGGTAGGCACTCCGTCCCCACCTGGAGGGAGCAATCCACCGGTTTCCGGCAGAGCACCATGGCCTCAGATTTGGAGGTGCTAACTCTCATCCCCGCCGCTTCACACTTGGCTGCAAACCGCCCAGTGAATGCTGGAGGTCATGATCCGAGGAGGCTAACAGGATCACATCATCTACAAACAGCACAGAGGCGATCCCGAGACCCCCGAACCTGACGTTCTCCGCCCCCAGGCTGCGCCTAGATATCCTGTCCATGAAAGTCACGAACAGGACCGGAGACAAAGGGCAGCCCTAGCGGAGGCCAACACCCACCAGGAACGTGTCTGACTTATTGCCGAGAATGCGGACACAGCTCCTACTGCAGTCGTACAGAGACCGGATCGCCCATTGTAATGGGTCCGGCACCCCATACTCCCGCAGCACCCCCCACAAGAACCCCCGAGGGACCCGGTCGAAAGCCTTCTCCAAGTCCACAAAGCACATGTAGACTGGTTGGGCAAACTCCCAGAACCCCTCCAGTAGTCTTGCGAGGGTAAAGAGCTGGTCCACTGTTCCACGGCCGGGACGGAATCCGCATTGCTCCTCTTGGATCTGAGGTTCGACAAGCGGTCGGAGCCTCCTCCTTTCCAGCACCCTGATCTGCAAAGATGCACAAAGCTGGTGTAGGAGACACATTTCAGCCCAATGTACTGCTTTCAGATTCAAAGCCCTATCATTGGACAATTCTGAAAATCTTGGTCCAGATTTTACCTTCAGTAACACTAGTTGAAGAATATATTCCACATGCAAAGCACAGCTTTTTTTGAATCAAAGTTGCTCTGTATGGAACACAAAAAGCAGTGGGCTGCTCCTGACAAGCGCCTGGGGAGCGGTTTGGGTTTAGTGTCTTGCTCAAAGACACTTCGGCACAGGACATGTAGTAGCCAAGGATTGAACCGGCGTCCTTACGGATACCGGATGACCCTCTCTACCCCATGAGCCGCGGTAGGCTTTAAATGGTAGATTGTATAGAGTGTAGAAATTATGCAGACGCTGAGCAGTATAATGTTGAGGAAGTCTCTGAAGGATTTCATTGATTGTAAATGGTCAGACTGAGTTATGATTATGATGATTATGGTTTCTCTTGAACAGTGGAATTTATTTATTAGCTCAATGTTACGGGGGAAATTGAAATGATATAACTCGGCACTCAAACCTGACACTCAGGAATGACACCACTAATATATCTTTTTTAGTGAGCCATATCTGGATCATCAGTAACATTTCGGTACATTTAGTACTACAATGTTTTCCTGAAATAGAAGTAAACTGTAAGTAGTATACAGATGAGTTTCATATTTCTTAAAGGCGTTTAGGGCCTTTTGTAAGATATTTAGGGGCACAATGAGTTAGAATAGTAACGTAATTCAATATTTAAATCTTAAGCTGTTTGGGGCCCTTTTAGTTGCATACCTTGCCTCAGCGTAAAGTCTGCCCTGGTCTTTTGTGCCTTGTATTTAAGGCTTTAACTGTTTTTTCTGTCTGTGAGTAGCTGCGACTTGGGTGTGTGACTGAATTACAGTATGTCATGGCAGGTGTATTGCTGAGGACTGCAAGCAGCAACAGGCCCGTTCTGGACAGAAATGTTTTTACGGACACTGCATTAGTTTCATTTAAAACCACAAGTGGTGCTAGAAGACAAGGCTGAGGGTCCCCTAAGTCAGTGATTCTCAACTGGTGGGCCGCGGACCCGTTTTCAGTGGGTCGCGGGCCTTTGCCTGACAAAAAAAAAAAAAAAAAAAGTTGTGATTTTATTTTGAAGGGCATTTTTTATGCAGCGGAATTATTCCAGCATTTACGGCACTTGTTCAGCGGTGCAGGAAAAACACCGACCAATGCGTTGTGAATCACATCGCGTCATGCAGCTCAGCCAATCAAATATGGGTATTCTGACAAGTTTCCTGACTTGAATGAGATGTACACACACCGTGACACACGGGGGAGAGACGAGGATAGAGAGCAGAGCAGGACTATTGAAGTGAGAGTTGTGAAAGTCAAATCATAGGACGATTTCCAAAAGACAAAAATATCCAGCGAGACCAGAGTCATTAGACTCTGACTGGACAGACTCATATAGCTGAATTCTTCAAACACTAATTTCGCTTTTTAGAAGATGAGAAAAATATAATATTGTGGCTTATTCACTTCACCCTGAATGAATTGAATTTAAAGCTGCAGGGCAATTCAGTGAAAATGATTTTTCTAAAATTAATTTTGTTACGTAATTTATTTTTTAATCCAGCCGTGATTTTACTTGAAATGAGAAGAACATTTATTTATGTATTTCTATGTATTATTTATAATCCATCCAG